CACCACTTCTGGCTTTTTTTCTTTTTGCTTATGTGGTGCTGAGGAATCGAACCCAGGGCCTCATGCATGCAAGGCAAGCGCTCTACCACTGAGCCACCCTCCCAGCCCCATGATTTGTATCTTATATTCTACATCTCATTTAACAAACCAAATCTGGGGATGATTTTTGGATCAGTGGACTAGTTTGCATATCAGGAACCTGTTGAAACAATTATGTCTGAATGTAATTTATCCAGCTGTGGTTGTATCCAAGCCTTCCCATCTTACTATTAAAGCAGTTTCCCCAGAAGCAGTCCTCACAGACACACGTCCTGTGCTAGTCTGTTGATCAGCACCTCAGAGACACCGGCAGGAGGGGCATGATGGAAAGGCTCCTGGACTCCCCCGCCTGCCTCAGTCTTGTTAGCCTGGCTGCGTCCTAGGAGTCTGCATTCTTAATCCATTCCCTCAGTTGTTCTTTTGGAGCCTGCCCTGACTAGCCTTTGAGAATCATTGTTCAGGAAGTCTCCTAAGCTCCTTGGGTAAGGAAGAGGCTACAGATGGCTGCCTCTGTCTAAAGCCAGGTGGTTCCCTGCACGTGTGGTGCCTCCACACCAAGTTCATGGTGAACAGAACCCTCTCACAGTATCTTCTGTAATAGGAAAATTGTTTGGCTCCAGTTACTTCTTGGCTCTTGAGCCTGATCTCTCACCAAGCCACTGAGAATCTCATAGGCCCTTTAGAGGTAATTACTCAGCCTTGAGCAGGCTCGATGAGGTGGTTAAATTTGGATGCATACAGAATTCTGGTCCACACACAAGGAATGCTGACAGCTTCGTTTTGAGTTTTCCTTAAAGACCTGGGTGCACACGACTAATATTCTTCACACAGTGATGCCCAGTTATTTGTGGTGCTGGACATCAGGCCGGGCCCCACATCTATCACAGAGCTACATTCCCAGCCCCTTGCTTTCCTTGTTTTGTTTTGTGGTGGTGACCCTCCAGGTCCCCTGCCTTCTACCTCAGCCTCCCAAGTGCTGAGATTTGCAGGGGAGCAAGTCCTACCCTTTTGTGTCAGTTTCTTCTCAGTTTCCTGAGAAGCTAGATTGACAGCCACCAGCACACCAACTCCCCTTTTTAGTGCTTCTTTTTTAATTCTTTTTGGAAAAAGCCACAGTTTGACATCAAACAAAAGTAGAGCCAGGCCTGTAATCCTAGCTTCTCGGAAGGCTGAGATCTGAGGCTCCTGATTTGAAGCCAGGTGGGGCAGGATAGTTTGTGAGACTCTTATCGCCAATTAATTACCAAAAAAAAAAAAAGGAAGTGGAGCTGTAGTGCAAAGAAGAGTGCTAGACTTGGGCAAAAAAATGCTCAGGGACAGCACTAAGCCTCTGAGCTCAAGCTCCAGGATCAGCACCCAAAAGAAAAGAACCGACAGAGTAGAGCAAGAGAAATACCCACAAAAGCACCTGTAAGACACAAAGGTGTAACATGAGGAAAAGTTGTTTGTGTGGGGGATCATTGGACGGGCAGGAGGGCTACGGGAGCTGTGCACAGGCGATTCTTGGGAAGCACCTGCCTCATTTGAAGCGGGGAGGGGGAAGGAGAAACTAGACAGGTGAATAGGGCCGGGTCATAGACCACGGTTTGTCTTTCTTCCCATTCCAGATCTTGAAATACTGGCCATTCGCCACAAGCCATTGCACCAATAGTACCGATTTTCTATCTTCGAAAAGCAGGCCAGATGTGCAGATGTTTCCAATAGATGTTGTTTTCTTTCCCAAACCTCCTCCCGTAGGTTCGAATTACATTAATGAAATTTCTGCCTAGCGTTTTCATGGATGCTATGAGAGACAACCCGGAAGCTGCTGTGCATATTTTCGAAGGAACCCACGAGAACCCTGAGTTGATTTGGAATGATAGTTCCAGAGACAAAGTGTCCACCACAGTGAGAGAAATGATGCTAGAGTGAGTAAAAGCCCAAGGGGAGGAGCCGCCTAGTGGGCACGTGCGCCCTCCCCTCCCTCCCCGTCACCTCTGTAGGCTTTCTCTAGAGACTGGTGAAAGTGTTATTTGTGACTAAAGTTTGGTATCCTCTCCCCACCCCCACCCCCTTTTTTTTTTCCCTGAAAGGCACTTTAAAAATCAGCGGGACAACCCTGATATAAACTGGAAGGTAAACTATTATTTTGTGGGATTTCTGGGTAGTTGCTGATTTTTGTGTGTTTTTTTAAAAAATAAATTCCTGCCAAGTCAGCTTAATGTAGATCTCTAGTGATGTTAAGACCCGTCAATGTGCTTGCCCTCAGAAGATGAGGTTTCAGACATAAAAAGTAGGGATGCTCAAGAGAAACACAGAGGTCCAGTGCCTATGTGCATCTGATCCTATAAAATAATATTTATTGAAATGAACTCCAGGAAAAGGAAACAAGGTTTTTCTTGTTATTGTTGTTTTGTTTGTTTTTTAGTAGGAATGCTCCCTTTTGAAGTAGTAAAAGCATGCTTTCTGAACTTTACTGAGAGGGAATGAGACTCAAAAGTAATCTGATGACATTTAGTTAATAGTAAAGATAATTACCAAGATTTAGTTGATTGTAAAGAATTCCCCTGTTAGAACTTGCTTCATAAGGAAGGAATGGTTTTTAAGTGACTGGCCCATGCTGATTGCTCTTTACCCACAGTTACCTGAAGATTTCGCTGTGGTGTTTGGAGAGGCTGAGGGTGAACTTGCTGTGGGAGGGGTTTTCTTGAGGATCTTCATCGCACAGCCAGCGTGGGTTTTAAGAAAGCCCCGGGAGTTTCTGATAGCACTGCTGGAAAAGTTCACCGAGCTCTTGGAGAAGAACAATCCTCACGTAAGCTCCTCTCATCCTCGGAACACATCAGAAGTTGTGCTGAATATTCATTCAAATCACAGATGCCCATTGATTTTTCATTTTCAGTAGTGAAACTCTTAATAAAATGGCTCCTTGTAGGAAACAAAGTTAGAAGTGCTCAGGTGGGCGGATGCATTCTTCTGTGTATTCACAGAGCTCTAACAGGCTGGTAGGCCCTTTGTTTTCAGCTTTATTGTATAGGAGGAGCCTCAGCATCCAGGGTTTCTCTGCCGTTCACCCCGGCCCTCTCAGCCCTTGGTGCGTACGGCTGCCCATGCGAACATCCAGGCGAGCAGAATGTCTGCTGCAGTCCTGGGGCTTGAAAGTCTATACCTGCTATCTCATTGGCTGAGCGAGATGGGTTTTGACCTCAGAGCTGGCTGAAGAGATACTTCCCACGTCACTTACTATAGTCAAGTTGCCTTTTCCAACCATTTTATTGCATCTGTGGTTTGCTTATAATAGGTAGGAGGACAGCTTTTTAAACCGATCCCAGGCAAAGGCCCTAGGACCGCTGAAAGTAAAGCAGCATTTTTGGTGTGTGTATATGTAGGATAATAGAAGCCGTAGTGTTTACAATCCATTATCAACAACACAAAAATCACCATGGCATCCAGACACTGTGAATACTTTTTAAATTTTATCTTGAGACAGTCTGTTTCAGGCTGGCCTCCAACTCTTGGTCATCTACCTTAGCCTCCCAAGCACTGGAATTTCAGGTGTATGTGACCATGCCCAACTCCCCAAATCAAACTGTTTAGTATTATCCATGTGCTCAAAGCTTTTAGTTTCTGGATTTTTGGATTAGGATAGTTCACTGACAAAGGCTATTCGACTGGCAAAGGCTATGAAATACTTCTGGACCAAAGATAAGGGATATTTGATCCGTAGTTGAAGCTTGATAGAGTAGGGAAAACGTTTCCCTAGTTCTGCATTCTGATGGGCTATTGGTGCCATCCAACATTAACTGTCATGTGTTCTGAAAATTTCTAGTAATAGGTATTTCATGTCTACATGATGGTACTAGTATCTCATGTCATCTTTTCAACCCCTCGTTTTGCACATGAGATACATTGCCAAGGCCATGTGAGACCCCAAGTACCCTACGATTGACTTGCATTGCCGGTTTGTCTCCTGCTGTCCAGGGGGAGACTCTGGAGACCTTGACCATGGCCACGGTGTGTCTCTTCAGTGCCCAGCCCCAGCTGGCAGATCAAGTCCCCCCCCTGGGCCATCTTCCCAAAGTCATCCAGGCGATGAACCACAGAAACAACGCCATTCCTAAGAGTGCCATTCGGGTCATCCACGTCCTGTCGGACAATGAGGTACTGACAGGTCCCCCCTAGCTCATAGCTCCAGAACTCCCCCCCCCCCCCCCCCGCCCCAGACTCAAGGGCGGGCACATGGCCAGGCCGAGCCCTCTCCCACCACGGCAGGCCCTGCTGTGCATGTGCGCGTGGCACTGTATTCACGTCCTCAAAAAGACGGAATCAAGGAGAGGAGAGCTGAATCGGCTCATTATCCAATCTGAGAGTAGATTTTTTTTTTAGAAATCCATTTTGTGGCTGTAGTATCAGCTATGATGTATAAAACCCAGCTCCCCCACAAGTAACCTCTCCCGGGCTTCTCAGCTGTGCGTTCGCGCCATGGCGTCGCTAGAGACCATTGGCCCCCTGATGAACGGGATGAGGAAGCGAGCAGACACCATCGGTCTGGCCTGTGAAGCAATCAATCGCATGTTCCAGAAGGAGCAGAGTGAACTGGTCGCGCAAGTAAGTGACTTCTACAGTAGGTACCAATATTCCAATCAAGGTTTAGCGAGAGGCCACTTTTTATATAGAATTTGTACACGCACCATTTTGCAAATATTGAATATGCACACCAAAAGTGAGGCCAGCTACCAAAAGCCTGATGGACTTCAAAAGTTGGCTCATGGCTGGGAAGGTGGCTCTGCAGCACAGTGCTCGCCTAGCATACAGGAAGCCACATACACAGAAAAAGCTGCAAGTAGCACTGTGGCTCAAGTGGTAGAGCACTTGCCTTGAGCAAAAGAAGCTCAGGCACAGTGCCCAGGCCCTGAGTTTGAGCCCCAGGACTGGCAAAACAAAAAAATTTGCTCATATTCTGAGTATCCTTTGCCTTTGGAAGGATGCATCCTGTTTGCTCATTCTATTCTTCCCTGAGTCACATTTAGAATTACACCAAGGTTTTGGTGGAGACTGTTTGCCTAGTGAAGGGAGGACTCGGTGGGTACATGCAGATGCAGAGGCACTGGAGAACTGAGATAGCAAATTTAGCAACTATTGTAAAAGTTGTCCTCTTAAAACAGGACACATTCTGCAGAACCTCACCTATAAACAGGACCCACAATCAGACACAGGGAGATGGCAGTTACCTGGGAGACATTGAAGTTTCCATTAAAAGGAATAACATTTTGAGATCTATCGCTGCCTAATGATTTTTGCGACAAAAAAAATATTTTGTATTTCCGCTAGTTAACTTTTATTTTCTCGGTAGACAGTGTATACATATAGCAGCAACATCACTGTGTCTCACAAATATATACATAAAAACAAGAAAGTGTTGGGCTGGGAAGGTGGCTCAGTGGTAGAGCACTTGCCTTGCATGCCTGAGGCCCTGGGTTCGATTCCTCAGCACCACATAAGCAAAAAGAAAAAAGTCGGAAGTGTCGCTGTGGCTCAAGTGGTAGAGCACTAGCCTTGAGCTGAAGAGCTGAGGGACAGCGCCCAGACCCAGAGTACAAGCCCCATGACTGGCCCCCCAAAAAAATTGTGGATACAAAAACAAGAAAGTGTTCACCTTAAAAGTCCTTTGATGATGTCTCATCACCTGCTGGTTGTCATCCTCATAGACAAGGTCCTGTGTCTTTATTATGGGCCTCCTGCCACTATACCTCTCCACAAGCCCCCCTTTTTTTTTGGTGCATGTCTCAGGGCTTGAACTCTGGGCCTAGGCGCTGTCCCTGAGCCTCTTTTGCACGAGGCTAGCGCTCTACCACTTGTGCCACAGCACCACTTCTGGCTTTTGTGTTTGATGGTTCATTAGCGATAAGAGTCTCACAGAGTTTTCTGGCTGAGCTGGCTCTGAACGTGTGTGTGTGTGGGGGTGGTTATATGTGTATGTAAGTATATGTATATACGTATATATTCACACGTGTGTATATGTTTACTCTTCTTTCCAGGCTCTGAAAGTGGATTTGGTCCCTTACCTCCTGAAGTTGCTTGAAGGCATAGGCCTTGAGAATCTGGACAGCCCCTCTGCCACGAAGGCTCAGATCGTCAAAGCCCTCAAGGCAATGACCCGAAGCCTGCAGTATGGAGAACAGGTGAGTGTGCAAGAGGCGCCTTCGGTGTCCTCCTTACAAGTTGTGCTCAAAGCCAGCAGCATCTCAGCCATGTGTTCAGGTCCACTCAGAGGCCAGGCTGGGGGGCGGGGGCAGGTGGTGCCCAGTGGGCATCAGCGCTGCTGCAGGTGACGGCTGCCGTTCTGTACCCGGCTATCGGGGGACTTGGTACTACTTACTCCAGACCCACCTCTAGTTCCAGGAGGTACTGATGGATGTTATAACTCCATTCATAACCTCTCAGAGGCTGCTCAGAAGATAGGGCCTCATGCTGGTCTTCATCTCTTTGATTAGTGAGATGAAGTGCTGGTTTTCCTTTTCTTCTGCGAATGAGATGTGTGTTGACGTGTTCTAACGGCAGGCATGTACTGACCTCGGTGACGTCATCCACCTCAGTCTTACTGCTGCATCTGAATCTGAGTTCATCTAGCTAGGCCTCATCTTCTAGTGGTCTTTGTTTATTGAATTGAAATTGGCATAGTACAGACAGAGCTATTTTATGGTGAATAGTTAATTGGCATTTAGCTTAGTATCATTTCACATATTTTATGGTGAATAGTTAATTGACATTTAGCTCAGTATCGTTTCACAAGTAACCACCGGCTCTAGTTTTAAAACATCCACATTTTTCATACCTGTGAAAGGTTGCTCTATAGTCTTTTTTTGGGGGGGAGGGTAGGTTGTGGGACTTGAACTCCAGGCCTGGGCACTGTCCCTGAGCTCCTCAGCTCAAGGCAACCACTCTACCACTTGAGCCATAGCGCCACTTCCATTTTTCTGGTGGTTTATTGGAGAGAAGAGTCTCACAGGAACTTTCCTGCCCAATCTGGCTTTGAACCTTGATCCTCAGATCTCAGCTTCTTGAGTAGCTAGCATAGACGTGAGCCACAGGTGCCCAGCTGCTCTGTAGTCTTTTCCCCAGTTTTGCAGCCATGTCCCAGAGCCCTCAAGAAATTCATCATCCATACCCTGCTGTCTGCCTCTGTTTCTGTCACATTGTTCGCGCTTGGAATCTTCCTACCTAAGTTAGATGCACCCTAGTATGTTGTAGGTTCCCACATTGTGACGGAGACTGGCTTGAGAAGTCAGGTCTGGCTCAGGCCCCAGGTAAAGTTTTGGAGGAGCGCCTGCTGTCGCTCCGCCCTCCCCCTCCTCTCCTTCTGCGTGCCCCTTCCCCCAGAATAGCTTGCCTTGCTGGCTGCCTCAGTCTCCCAACATGCAGTCTTCCATTGAGTTCTGCTGTAAGAGCTTTTTCTGCTTTCCTAGGTGAATGAAATCCTGTCTCGTTCTTCCGTCTGGAGCGCCTTCAAAGATCAGAAACACGATCTGTTCATTTCTGACTCACAGACAGCAGGATACCTCACAGGTGAGTCACACCTCCCTGCTTATCCTGAGATACCTGGCCGCGGCCCCCAACCCTTCATTTGGCCCCAAATAGACTTGGACTAGCATTCCGAGTGTTTCCCTGAGCTGCCTACCACTCACCTCCCTTGCTGGTGCTGAGGGCACCCTAGTGAGCCTCTGACAGCATGTGGACAGTTGTCTTTCAGCCTGATTAATTGGCTTTCAGAATACAAGATGGTTCTTTGCCATCTGCTGGGAGTGGCCTGTCAGGAAACGTCAGCCTGTTGGCTCTCCTAACCAGAGATGAAGTCAGTAATTAAGAGAAAAAAAAGGGGCTGAGAAGGTGGCTCAGTGGTAGAGCGCTTGCCTTGCATGCCTGAGGCCCTGGGTTCGATTCCTCAGCACCACATAAGGAAAAAAAAAAGGCTGGAAGTGGCGCTGTGGCTCAAGTGGTAGAGCACTAGCCTTGAGCTGAAGAGCTGAAGGACAGCGCCCAGGCCCAGAGTTCAGGCCCCACGACCGGACCCGGAAAAAAAAAAAGAGAGAGAGAAAAAAAATAGCAGTGTCTAGTACAGTTGCCTTAGTAACCCTGATTGCTAGTATAGAATAATAAAATCATGAATAATGAATCCTAAATATTCAGAAACAGAACCTTGGGATCTCACCTGGCTTTCATTTGACATGGTCCTGACATATGTACTGCATTTCCTTCGCTGTGACCACTTTCATATTAATCCACCTTAGTTGGGGCTGAGCCCTAAGATTTATAAACACGTAGAGTGTTGGGGTGTTGGCTGTCAGTCCTGTGTGAGGAAGTGTCACAGGTTCTCCTTCCCATTCTCTATCCCTGTGCCTGAATTCTAGGGAGAGAAACACCCAGAGTCTTCTCTTGGTCTTTGCCATATCTCAGTCTCACATTGGGAGCAAAGCTTCCGTGCAGGGGTATGTTCTCACGGACACATGAAACACTGCCTCGAGACTGTCTGTAGCTCAGTCTCCATGCTCGTGGTGTTACATGCCCAGCTTTATGCATAAGGAATGACTGGGAAAATCTACACAGAAACTGGCCCCAGAATAGTCTAGTGTCAGTGTCAGTTATAAGCGTCTCAAAAGGAAGGTTTCTTAAAGTGTTTTTTGTTCTCTATTCCATTTTCATTTCTTTTTTTTTTGGGGGGGGGGGGTCCGGCCATGGGGCCTGAACTCTGGGCCTGGACGCTGTCCCTCAGCTCTTCAGCTCAAGGCTAGCGCTCTACCATTAGAGCCACAGCGCCACTTCCGGCTTTTTTCTTTTTGTTTATGTGGTGCTGAGGAATCGAACCCAGGGCCTCATGCATGCAAGGCAAGCGCTCTACCACTGAGCCACCTTCCTAGCCCCTCTATTCCATTTTCATACACTCAAAAAAATTTTTTTAAATGCAAGCATGACTTAAGAGTTATAGAGGAGATGTCATTCAAGTGACACCACTTAACCTCAGGATTAAAGTCCTAGGTAAGATTCCTCAGGGCCAGTGAAACACAGCAAGGCGGGCATAGAGTTTTGTTTCCTGGTAAGTTGTTTAAGAGGCCTCTGGGAACCCTCCCTCTCCCTGTGATGTAGATACACAGAAGGTTGCTCACTGCCCAGAGCCTGCAGGTGGCAGCAAGTTCAGTGCCCCCTGAAAATCATTTCAGTGATGAAAAACTCCAGGGTACCTCACTGAGGAAAATCAGCAGCCAAAAGGAGGGATAACAGGAAACAAGAAGTTGAGGGGAAATTGCTTTTGGAATGAAACACAGAAAACTTTACACATACATTCATTCGATCATTCATCTCCCCCCCCCCCCTTCTGTCTATCTCTCTATTGTAGTAGCCAGTTCTCATTCGTTGGCTTCTTTGTTAATTTCTACTCTTTTCTCAATCCTCTCAAACCCCACTTTAGTTCCCACACACCCTAGTTTCCTCCCCTTTCTCACACTTTTCTCTGGAGAGCACAGCTGTGCCCCCCGAGGCCGGGGCGGGGGGGCAAGGACGAGCTGAGACTACCATGAATCAGCCGTCCTGCAGAGAAGCCAGTGACGGGGGTGGGACCAGGTTTCTTCTTCCTCGTTCTGTCAGGTCACAATTTAGAATTTAGAATCAAGAGGTTCCCACATTTTTTTTCTTAGTTCCTAATGCTTTATTTCTGTCTTCATAACATTTTGGCACAGTAGGCCAAAAGAAATGTCACCAAGTTCAGCATATGAAGTAGTTATCATCCGAACAGCTGGCAAGCCGTTGCTTGTATGGCCTTGGCAGTCCGGTCTCCACCCGGCCCAGCAAGAGGGCCGCAGTGGTCTCGGCTGCCTGTGTTTGGTTCCCTTCTCTGACTCTGGCTTCGATGTGAACTAAGTGGAGCTCACAGTCAGCGCTGCTCAGAAACTCTACTACTACAAAGGCTCTGAGGTGTTACTGAAAAGGCCCACATGTACCACAGGATTGCTGGACAAAAAGCCCTATGGTGGCATCTCGCTGCTGTGAACTGTGGGGAGACCCTCAACGGCAGACGGGGTGCTCACAGCAGGGGGGTGCACACAGCAAGGTGGGAGGTACCTTGAAAGTCTCTGGAAGGCCTAGTGATGCAATTCGCAGAAAGAAGTTTGCTGGATACCCAGGGCTCACGCCTGTGATCCTAGCTGCTCAGGAGGCTGAGATCTGAGGATTGAGGTTTGAAGCCAGTCCAGGCCGGAAAGGCTGTGAGACAAAACAAAACACAGAAACCAGAAAGGAGGAATTGATGGATGCAGGCCCCTTGGTCCTTCTGAGTGTTCCAAGGACAGGGCTCCCAGCCCCTGGGCTTCGGCTAGCTGTGGTCACAGCTTGTGAAGGCGGAACAGCCCCGGGTCCTATCACCACCCTGGCCATGTCTGCCTGGGCCGTTCTGTATCCTTGGTGCCAGTGCTCGAAACGGTGAGAAAGCAGTTCACCCAACGGGGGGCCTCCATCCTGCCGAGTCCTGTGAGTCCCCAGCCCGCATCGCGCCGCTCTGCTGTTTGCACCTCCTCACGACTTCCCTTGCTGCTTACATTTCTTTTCTCCCCTCAGGTGTCTCTCCTTCCCTTCTAACTGGCAGCAGCCCCCTTCACCTCAGGAGTGGGCTTTAGATCCGCTCTGCCAGGCAGCTTGCTAACTTCTGTGTAGCTCTCTGAAGCAGGTAGAGAAACATTTTGCTACATGCATGCTGCTCCCACCGCCTCTCTAGGGAACCCTCCGCTGTCCTGTGGTCCTTTGCCTCTGTCGCCTCCAATTCTGGCTCACAGACCCGCCCAGTTCACAGTACCATGCTGTCCCAGTACTGACCGAACAGCCCGGTCCTGGCCCCAGTGCGTGCAGCATTCCAAGATGGAATGCCAGGCCTTCCCTCCGCCTTGTTCCAAGTGAACTAGACAGCCAAAGCCGGCAGGACACTCGTGCGGCCAATCCAATCCTGATAAATAGCTGGCACGAGCAGCATTTTTACGCCACAGATACTGATCGAGCCGAAGAACACGTGTCAGGGAGATACTGATCCTTTTTCCAGAGCATTTTTTTATTGTTGTTCTGACCTGACTCCTGGATGTCCAGAGCCTTCCTCTTCTTCCCAGAATCCTTGCTGTTAAGAGAACTCCCTGTGCCTTTGGGTCCCCTGGTAGCATAGCCTTTCTCTGAACCAAATGAGACTGGGTTTAACTGGAATGGTGAGCAAATCGTTTGGGGGTGTCATCGATGGTGTCAGACGTGTGTGCTGGGTGACGTGTGCTTCTCTCTGTTCGTTTCCATTCCCCCCCTCACCCACGAGTTCGCTTTTTTTTTTTTTTCAGTGTCTAGAAATTTTTGAAAGCTTGAATGTCCCAGATACGAAAAGGAACATGTTTTCTGTATTCCCCCCAACCCCTTCCCATCCAGCACAGATAGCAAAGCGCTTTCCAAGTGTGTCACATCATAAAAGCAAAGCCCGTGGACGGGGCTCTCGGTGCCGTCTGCCGAGGTGCAGCTGTGTGTCTAGGTGACTCTGTCCCCCCCGGGGCCGGGGCATCATGTCCAGCTCTGGCCGCGGGCCCCACTGGGTACAGAGGCGCACGCTCTCCTTCCTCTCTTGCAGGACCTGGCGTGGCTGGATACCTTACCGCGGGTACATCGTCAGCCGTCATGTCCAACCTGCCGCCTCCTGTAGACCACGAGGCGGGGGACCTCGGCTACCAGACTTGAAACAAACACTCGACGTGCGGTGACCGGCGCAAAGGCCAGTGCCGCCTCCACATTCCTCCAGCCGCCACGTCGAAGCAAACTCTCTTAACTGCCTTTCTCCTGGTCTCACGACAGTGTTACTCCTTTTTCTATGAATATATTTTTATTTAGGAAAACGTCAGTGATTCTGATCGTCTCCACGTGACGACGAGAAAAGCACTCTGGATCAACCTAAGAGGTTACCCGAGAAGTGTGTTGGTTTTTTTTTCTTCCCCCCTTGACGTACGTAAGCACATTTTGTTCCTTTGTACCTGTTTACAAGACTGTGAATCAAAAAGATGAAACTTACTTCCTAGTTTTTATAATTTTTTTTTGAATTAGTGTGACTGTGGGATTAAGCTACAGTCTCCAGAAATTGGGCTAAGTCACCCATCCCCAGAAACCCCCCCCCTCCCCCTACCCAGGTTTCTGCGGCCATCTCCCTGGCACTGAACACCATTAGGTTTTGTCCCGTTACCTGTTCACCGGTGTCCCTGTCATTAACCTCCCGAGAGCGCACATCGGTATGCATACCTGGCTTTACCAAACTGAATGAAGAGGAACTCGTGCAAAAAAAAAAATTTAAAAAAGTAAAAATGGATGTCAAGATGTTAATGTAAGAGATTAGTGTAATTGTGAAATGTTCTATACATTATCAACTATATAAAGCTTTCTATATTGAATGTACATTATACAGATCGTTCCTATGTGTACATAAAAAAATTTTAAAAATAAAGGGATTGACTGCTTTGTTAATGAGATATGTTTGTTCCCGTTTCATTCCCCCCTCCCACTCCCCCCCACAGAAAACCCCACCTACCCATGTTACTTCTAAGACAGACTTGAGGGCGGCTCCCGCACCAGCTCCTCCCTTGGTTGGCAGCTGTTGTCAATGCTTTCCTTAGTCCTAGCCCCATCTGAGTTTCCTCAAGCAGGTGGCACCCCTCCTCTTCCGGTGCCAGGCTGGTCATGAGTACTTAAATGTGTGATATTTAAACAGCAACCCTCATTCTGAGGTTTTCAAACAATTCAAAGGGGCAGAGCATATGTGGAGTGACAGTCCCTCCAATGTGACCCTGGGGAAATAAATACACAAACACTTGTTGCACAGCCACGTGGCTTAGGGGTTTGGCCCATCACAGCTGCAAATTGCCAGCTCAGAACTCGTGTCAGATTTACCTGGCAACACAGAAACGGAGAGCCATAGCAGTCCCCACCGCAGTGTTTTGTTTTCCTGAACACTGAGAGAACATACGTATTGTAAATACTTGGGAGAGACCAAGTCCCATTTCCTCCATCAGCACTGATAGTCCCATACCAAATGGCGGCTGATCTTTAGGGGATATTAAGAGTGACAAGTGTCACACAGCCTCACTTCAAATCCTCAGAGCAGATCTTGGGGTTTGCTACGGATGTCTGTCAGAGTGACTGAGCTGGGTCTGGGACTTAGCTTGTAGAGAGCAGATGGCTGCTTTTCCTGACGCCCAGAGGCCCAGGAGGGGGCCTTTGCCATGGCCCAGAGAAACGTTTTTGGTCACCTAGTAATTGGAGGCATGTGCAGGTAACCTGGGCTTGGGGAGGAAAGCTTCCTTCCCCTCACTCTCTCATGGGGCATGCTTGGGTGGGGCTCAGCTGGCAAAAATAATGGTTCTTTCCTCTTCTGCAGTACCTTTGCTGACTTGCAATTCTTTTTTTCTTCTTTTTCCTCCAGTCCTGGGACTTGAACTCAGGGCCTGAGCTGCTTCTAGCGCCCGACCACTTGAGCCACAGCGCCACTTGCAGCTTGTCCTGTGTACATGATACTGAGGGAATCGAACCCCGGGCTTCGTCCGTGTATGGCTGAGCCAAGTTCCCAGCCCCTGGCTGCTTGTTCTGAACCAGTCTAGCTCTCTCCCCTGGCCAGTGGCCATATGTGAGTCTGTCACAAGTACCTAGGGCTGTGCTCCAGCTCCAGGGACAGGACCTGGCTGGGAGTCATCCAGTTTTTATTTTAAATTCTCTTCCCTGGAACCTCCCTACAGCCCTCTGGTAATTCTATTTTTTTTCCCCTATCGTTCATCCCCTGTCTGGTGAGAAAAACGATCATGATGGCCAGGCCTTTGGAGATTCTGATCAGAATGGATCTGGGGAAAGTCCAGAAGGACATCGTATTATTATTATTGTTGTTGTTTTCCTCCCAGGCTCTCCCGAACAATTTCTTCCCTCCCCCACCCCCCCGCAGCCAAGGTTGCTGTGACTTTGATCAACTTTCCGAAGGTGACATTACCCAGAGTCCGCGGGAGGGGGGGGGGGAATTCCTAGCGAAGAGGACCCAGGTGGGGAGAGAGGCGGCGGGGATGCGGGAGAGACGAGGGGGGGGGGGGGGGGGAGGAGGATGAGGATGGAGATGTCAGCTCCGGCATGGGCTCTTCAGCCTCCTCTCCCCCGCGGTCTGGGTTCGCCCTGAACCGGGCCGGCGTCGTTGGCGTCCACGAATCGCGCAGGCCTAAGGATGGGGGCAGCAGAATCCGTCAGGAACCCGGGCTGCCACGCACCTGCGTGTGCGGCCCCTGGGCGCGGGGTCCCAGAGAGCACCGGCCCGCGGCCCCGCCACGCCCACCCAGAGGCCACGCCCCACTGAGCTCTCTTCCCCGCCCATTCCGCCTCCTTCGCCCAGCTCCGTCCACTCAGCCCCGCCTACAGGGCTTCCTCGCCCAACCCCACACTTCGGCCCTCCGTACTCAATGCCCCGCCCACCCCTGCCATGCCACAGCCCCTCCCATTGCCCCGCCCCTCTTAGTTCAGCCCCGCCCCGCCCACCGTGCTGCCCCGCCTATCCCACCGCCCGCTCCTCTCTACCCCCCCAGGCCCCGCCCATCCCACCACCCGGCTCCCCTCTACCCCGCCCAGGCCCCGCCTACCACGCTGCCCCGCCCATCCCACCACTCAGCTCCTCTCTACCCCGCCCAGGCCCCGCCCATCCCACCACTCGGCTCCTCTCTACCCCGCCCAGGCCCCGCCTACCACGCTGCTCCGCCTATCCCACCGCCTGGCTCTTCTCTACCCCGCCTGGGCCCCGCCCACCACGCTGCCCCGCCTATCCCACCGCCCGGCTTCCCTCTACCCCGCCCAGGTGCCGCCCACCACGCTTGCCCCGCCCATACCACCACCCTGCTCCTCCTCTACCCCGCCCAGGCCCCGCCCACCACGCTGCCCCGCCTATCCCACCGCCCGGCTCTCCTCTACCCCGCCCAGGCCCCGCCCACCACGCTGCCCCGCCTATCCCACCGCCCGGCTCCTCTCCAC